AAACTTATTTTCAAAAATAAGAAGTGATAAAAATCATGTATATCGAAGGAGCCATTTAAGGGAACCCGGTCAAAGACTGGGTAAAAGTGGGCCGAAGGCCCACAAAATGGAAGTAAGGAGGCAGGCCGCTATAAAAAATGCCCACGAGGCCGTAGCGTAGCCAGTCCGCCCCTGGGTGAACCTATATTTATTTAATTATTTGAAACCTCAAAATATGAGGGGTTTGAATTTAAAATATTTCAAATTTAGATTTATTTACAGCTGACGTTTCAAACCTCGGCCCAATTATATGTTCTTAAGTGATAATATTTGTATAACAGAAACTAGTTATTAGTTTTTTTGTATATTTTGCTTACTAAAAAATGGGTAAGTCACTTTTAATTGTTTATTTATTTAAAATTTTAATTTTTGTTGCCTATTTTCTTAATTTTATAAAAAAAAATTAATATTTTTTCGGATTTAAAAAAATGTGGAAATTTTTCTCTGTGAATTATGTGGGAATTTTTTTACATGGAAAAATTTTTCTGGCTAAATATTTTCAGTGTTAATTTCAAAAACTCATAATTTTATAAAATTAAACAATATTTTTATTACCACAATAAATTACATCTAAAAAGAGGGGGAGAAGTTATTACAATTAAAGTAATCCTATCAGCAGCGTCTACATGACAATATATTCACTGAATGCAAACCCCCCCTCAAAAATATATATCTACCCCCCCCCCCTAAAAATACCAAAATGTTATCCATAGATAATTTAAAAATGTAATGGAAAATTTTCTAGATTATTATAGCCTACCCCCCATAATGCCTACCCCTACCCCTTTAAAGATATTAGGATGCAAACTGTTCCTACCCCCCCCCCCTTCCGCTTATGTAGACACTGCCTATCAGATTAAAATGGCATTTAATACATTATGATATGAGAAGTTTACTTGTGTAAATATTTGAAAAAAAATACGACTACATCAATTAACCCAATCCCTGTAAATTTTAGTGATTCTGAACCTGATCAACCTGCAATAATGCCGAATCATACAGATTTCGATAACTAATTTACAATTTTAAAAAGTATTTTATCATGAGATGCGATTCAACTTTTTGGTTAATTTAATGAAATCATTAATAATTATCTTTATAATTTTTTAAATGTGTTGATAAATGGGTTATTTAATAAATTTAAATTAAAAAATAAAATATAATTTAAAAAAATGTTTTTTTTAAAAAACACACATCTCGAGTCGATCAGACTTGAGTTAATTTTTCAACTAAAAATTCGATTTTGAGTCACAACTAACCTAAGTTGGCTGAATTGTTTAACAACACTATAAAATGTTCTAATTTTAGGTAGCACAATTATCTAAACACAAATTTTAAAATAGGTGATACTCAAAGCCAATTAGTTTACACATTCCCTCTTTGCTCTTATATTTTTTCAAAGTAATATTTTTATAACAAATAATGTAAATACTATATGAAAGATGCCCAACAACCAGGGATCCAAACCCAAACTAATATAGGTTCAGATAAAAATAACGGTTCAAGTTCGGTTAGTAAAAAATAAAAATATCGGTTCGGTTCGAACCTCTAAAAACCCATTTGAACACTTTTATATTCAAACCTATATTCGAATTATGTATAGGAAAGAATAATTTTATTTATTTCTAAAAAACACATACATAAAACCTTCATTTTTATTAATTGTGCATTATAAAGTAATATTTAATTTTATTTACTTAAAATTTTTTTATTAATATATTTTCAAGTTTCGTCTCACTCATATTACATCTATAAGGAGATAATATAAATTTAATTTGAAAAACATTTGGCTCACTAACTTAGGTAGCCGTCACTGCCAGTATTATATCAGACAATTTACATAATTCTGAGTATCGATTACTCTGATTCCTCCAATCCAATATTAACCTAAGTTCTTTACTAACTAAAATATTTATAATGTTCTCCGATTTTTATAACAGATTTTGTTTGTTACCATTAAAAAAATTAAAAATTATATACAAAAATATATTTATTTTTTCTTACAATATATAATATAGACAAAACTATAAAAAATAATACATAAAATGATGAGATCTTATTATAAAAAATTTTCATATATAATATATAATCATAAGATAACATTTTTTTGTAATAATTTTTTATTTATTTTAGCAATAATTGATTTTCAAAATTTTCATCAGACAAACAGATTTTCATTAATTTCCTCATCAAAAAAAAATTTATCTTTATCAGAAAATATTTTGGTATTTGCTTTGGATAAGGGAATCAGGTCTGCTCTTTCTCTATCAAGATCTTTTCTCAAAATGGAAATAAGATCTTGCATTCTTTGTTTATTCATCTCTGATTTTATCCAGGGCCAATCTAATTTAAAGAGTGGGTGAATCATTGCTGATAGTATATAGGGTTAAATTTTCTTCATCAGAAGAATAAACTATTATAGAGTTTGGCATATATTCTTAAAATTAATTATAATATAGAATAATAATATTAATATATACTTTGAATTTTGATTGAATATTAGTTAGATTAAAATTTGATTGAAAATAACGAGCGAAAATTTAAATAAGAATGAAAGGAATGATGGTTGATATGAATTAAAAACTCGGTTTATTATTTATATTAAAAATAAATAAAAGTAATTTTATAGCACAATAAAATATGTTTTTTTTATTAATATTTTTTTAAGAAAAAATTTACCCAAAAAAAAGAAACGCGTTACAGTTACTCGTTAATTCTAGAAAAAGGTAACGTATGACGTTCCTTTTCTTCAAAAAAAGGTAACGACGTTAGTAACGTCGTTACTTTTTTGACGTTACCGTACAGCACTAGTTATTTATCATACTATATGTAAATAATTTTCATATTGGATTTAATTATTTTCTAGGCATTATAATTTATAAGCTTAAAATATTTAAAAAATGTTGTAAAATGGCAATATACTATAGTTTATAAAAATTATGACTATCAATCAAATGTGATTGATATATTTTAAAACAATTCGAATATAATTCATTCATTCATTCATTACCACGCCAGAAATTGCACGAAGTGCAATTTCATCACCCACCAGGAGTTGTAGCGTGCACCATGTATATTCACTAGTATATAGATCCTATACATGATGTATACCCGTTTTATTATAGTGGACGGTACCACTATGTAGTCAGCTAGCATAGTAAAGAAGAGAGGAGTAAGAAAGAGGGGATCTATTAGTTCCGTTACCGGCAAAATAGTGTTAAGAATTGTAGCTAATATTAATAATAATAATGTACCTGACACCTGGTTAGATTTAAGAGATGGGAAAAAAAATTTTTTAATGTTTGGTAAGTATATCCTTGGAAGATAACGCAATGTCTATATAACATGTCCTATTCCTGAGGTATTCAACTTCTCTGTAATTGTAATCTCACTTCCTGAAAGTCTCTTGTCCTAAAGAGCTTGTTGTCTTCGTCTGATTTATTCCTTCTTTTATCCTCAATTTGTCATTCTAAGTCAAAAAGTATCCCCATAGATCCTTGTCTGTATTAAGCAAGCGATGCTCGGAATCCATGTTATTCATTATTATCATTATTATATTGAGCCTGGAGATCGTTATCATTATTAATATTCATGGTTTTAAGATTATCATTGACATAATTCCTATTTATTAATAATCATATTATCTTGAACAAAGGTGTTCCATCTTTTCTTTACATTTGATTCATTCGAATATAATTAAAATTTTTGTATTATACTACTAATAACTTACTCATTTAAGCATGAGGCTTGACCCAATCAGAAGTATTTTAGCAGTTCGGTTTAGGTTCAGCTAGAAATATTTTAGCGGTTCAGGTTGGTTTGGATCCCTGCTCCCAACATATCAAGTGATTTTTATACATGTCCACTTAATTGAGAATTGGAAAGTATTACATAATTCTTTTAACTGAAATATGCATCACATAAATTTATAGGTGGATATTATTTAGATAGAAAAAATATATGATTATGGAATTACTCAATATCTTATAGATTTCAATAAAAATATACGAATTTATGATAATTTAATATATAAATTTTCTGATATTTTAGAGTTGACTTATATATATACCCAAAAGGCAAAATATCCACCTTTTTTGAAAATTTTCCTTACTGATGTGGTACATACAAGCATATAACATACCAACTCTCTCTAAAATCAGACTGTAAAGTTACGTTGTTAAACAAAATCATTTATCCATCTAAAGGCATTAAACAAACAGTGCTGAAGATTCAAGTTTATAGCCCTTCCAGTATTGTTGAACGGTTTTATTTGACCCACTTTTTAAAAACGGATAACTAAGTATTTTATCCAGAAAATATCACCTAACCTATAAGATTTTATAGATACCTAACAGTTTGAACATATATTAGTGAAATATGTTTACATAATACTTTTTTGTCTAAAAGATTGAGTTAGTCATTTTATAAATTGGAGCAAATCAAATCATTTAACTACACTTAAAATTTATTATATTATCACCTTTATAATATATATTTGTATTAAATATTTGATATGCATATTTGAATTTTTATTGTATATTTTTTTCATATGTCAATCATAATTTAAATCAAGGTTATTAATATATTTGAAGCTTATTTGGTATGTATCAGTAAGTTCTGTTTGAAAGAAGAGACAAGATATTTGTTTGAAAGTTTGTTATCAAAAAGAATTAGGTTTCAAGTTTGAAAGTTGTATTATGGTGTTAATTTGTGAATATTTATTTATGTTTGAATTGGGAGTATATGAATAAGAATATAATTTCAATTAAAATTTGCTTGTATTTGAAAAATATAAATAATTTTATAGTTAAAAATATATTGTTTTTTTTGTATTTCAGTTAAATTTATCTGTTTAAAATAAAAAAAATACTTTAAAATACTCTAAAATATATTTTGTTATAATTAATCAAACCAAAATTTCAAAATACATCATTGCTAAGCTTATTAAAGTGGCCTTTGAAAAGTTAGCTACTGTTCAATTGAATATATTAGATCATTTCAACACTGAATATATTAGATCCTTTGTTATGTTCACATCAAAATAATTTATAAATGTTTCATATTCATATAAATAGAATACACAATAATATTATCAGTTATATAACTAAATATTTAAATTTAATGCACCCATAACATATAAATAAACAAGAAATTAAAGAAAATAATAAATAAACATTTTAAATTTGATAATTTTTTAAATCTAATTTATAATATACAAGCCATACCAAGTTTAATTTTTTAACTGGGCAATGAAAAGGGATTTTAGGGCACTCTTGTTTGTATATCTTCTTAAATGTTATATTTATATAGAGGAATACAAAAATTGTGAAATAAATTTTAAATAAAATAAATAATCATTTTTAAAATTAAACAAAATGGGATATATATATATTATTTATTAAACACTGTTATAAACATTTGATTAATTAAGGCCTTTGAAGCTTCTTCAGAAAGAAATAGCCATGGGATTATATAGATATTTCCTTTAAATTAAAATTAGATCTAAAATTAAATAGAATTCATACCTGATTGTATTGACTTTGGTAAAAAATAATAGCAGGGAAATAACCACTCTTTAGGTATTGCCACTAAAATTTTGGAATAATATTGCCAAATATAATATAAAGATAACAAGATCTAATAGAAAAATATAATAGTGAAGATAATAAAATCCATATTACCTTCATTGTATATATTATATATTTTAAAAGAGTTTTGTATCTTTTGATTTGTTGCTTTTGATCTTTTTCTAATCAAATATAATTTTATTAATTAAATAGAATTGTATAAAATTATAATATAATCATAAATCCTTATGGAATTTTTAAATTGTTTGTTGCCTAAATTTTTTTTTGCCCATATAAACATATATACTAGCAAATTAATTATATAAAAATAAAAACCTATTTTTTCAATATCTTCCTTATGAGCATTGATTTTTCTTTGCAATCTTGCAAAATTTGGAAATTCATCTACAACATTAATGTTTCGTTTTTCAGATTCCAACTTTAAAACTTCTTTATATATATCTTTATATTTAAGTGATGGTTTTAAATAGCGAGAGATCTTCTCATCAAATAGATATAGAATAATAAAAAAACAGTAAACTTACAATGTTATATTTGAATATGAGATAATCAAGCAAATTGAATAAATACAATAAAAGAAATATCTTAAAAAATTCAGGCATCTGATGACTGAATAAACTGAATCTATCACAAAAAAAGATAAGTATTTATATAATATGCCACAAACTGTCAGCTTTTCGTAATTTCTGATAGCTGAATGTTATATAGCTTAGAAAAAATCCTTCATTATCATTCATATTGACAATTTTTTTTTTTTTAACTTTATTATTTATTCATAATCATTAAATTACAGAGGATTAAAAAATATATATTAAAATGGAATGGATATATTAAAAATTAAATATAAAAAAAATAAATATATAATATATATATAATCTATGAAGACATTAATAAGGACTATAAAAAAAATATATATATTTTAAAAAAAGGGGGGTATATATCATCCAAGAGAAGAGTGAATACTTAAAAAATTAGACCGGCAAATTTCCATGGAAATCTGCTGGCGAAGGTAAAATCCTTCATTGGGGTCCCCTGAGATCTGTCTCATTTATTTTCCTATGATTTTAATGAAATAGAGGGCCTCGTCCAAACTTGCCTAGGGTATTGGTAACGATAGGAATAAACATAGTGTGGCGAGGCCAGCGTATTTATTTTTTTTAAGGATTTCTGCCTTTTCGATAGCAGAAAATGAGAGGTTAGACTTGGCTGCAAAATCAACGCAAGTGTAATCCCATGTTAGCGGAAGACCATTAGACCAGGGTATGAGAGAAATTACATCCGGGCGTATGAATTATATTTTTTATTTAAATTAAAAATACAATAATTGAATATCTCATGTTCTAAAGTATATTGATAGAATATTAAAATTTTAATTAAATAAATCTTTCATGAACAATCGAAATATTAAATGGTCACAGTTGAGCAGGTCCTCCGAAAAAAGAATCTAGATTCAGAAACAGATTCTTTATAAAAAATTGAATCTTAGATACAGATACTAGTATCTTTTACAAAATATCGAATAGTTACAATATAAAGGATACATGTATTTGCTAAATTAGAATATCCATAGAAGATACTTTAAAATTATCAATACTAACTAAATAAGAATAGTTTATAAAATCAGTTTTTATTTTATTTGTTACTAACATAACATATGCATATAATAAGAATGAATATTTACAATAATTAATAAAATATTTAATGATGAATTAATTATAAGGCATTTTAATACTAGTATTAGCCCATTTTTAGCATAGATATGTAAGGGAAATTAGTATTTTTAATGGGAGTTAAAATATAAATTTGCTAAAGAGTATTTAAAATAGATATTACTTTATAAGATAATCATATTTTTCAAATAATTTATAATTAGATCTTGACCGTTTCGGCCTACTTAACATTGTGCTAAAACTAGATATTTCAATCGGAGAGCTAGCTGATGAAGGCGTTGCATTAATTTTCTTAATGGAAGGATAATAATTAAGCATTTATAATGTATTGTGACTTTCTTAAGTATAATTTAAAACCTTCACTTCAATGTTATTTGTAAACTCAGCAACATTTGTTTCGCCAATTAATGTGGGGTCACCATAGGCGTAGCCGGGGGGGGGGGCAAGAGGAAATTTCTTTCCACTTCAAAAATTTATCACTTTTTGTGAATATCATTTTAGCTAATAAAAATATATTCTTTAGTCCTCTGCCCACCCCCTGTCCCCCAAATATGTATGCATATACCTTAAACTATTGATTATAATTCATACTTTTTTGGGAAAAAAGCAAATTATATATATAAAAAAGTGAAACCAAAAAGGTTTTTTAGGAAATGAAATATAAGTCAAAAATAAGTCTTAAGACAAAAGTGAAATGTGTTATAGTTACTATTAAAAATTACTAAATAATATAATATCCCAAATATAATTTTTTATTAGGTGAGTAACTTTAACTTATTTTTCTTATAAAATTGTAAAAATATTGATAAAATTAAATTATAAATTAAGTAAAAATTAACGCACAATACAAAGAGTGGAATATTATGTGTCTTATATTTACAGTATATCTAATTTTATCTAATATCGTAAGACAATCAAATAATCTTTACCAATAGGGAATTATATAATTTGAAGACTATAGAATATTGATAAGGACATCAGAAAACATTTTTTAAAGAATGTAAATTAAAAAAATAATTCTATATTTCAGTACGTTAATATCTAATAAGGTACATCCAATGTGGGATGAATAACAAGATGTTTAATTTTTAATTATATATTTTTAAATAAATAGATGGCTAAAGATTTAAATGCAAATTGACTTATATTTATTATCAAAAGCATTTATTAGCAATATTTATTAAAATATTATTAAAGTAATATATTCTATAACTTTCAAATATGTCAGTAAAAGTGGCATTTTACCTAATATTTTGTAACCAATTCTATATAATAGAGAAATATCAACTATATGTCTACTTACTTTTTATAAAGAATTTTCATATACTTGTTTGGAATAAATTTTTACCACGTTTTTATATTAATGTATATATATATTAAATTTATTATTTATATAATTTCTTATATTTTAAATAAAGATAATATTTTTTTTTTATTAAATTTAACATTCTCTCTTGCAAAAATATTTTATGAATATATATATACAAAAATGGGGTATGGGGGCAAAGCCCCCGTAAATTTTATAATTTACCCCCTTTAGGAAAATCCTGGCTAAACCGTCTTCCACATTAAACCCTCCTCAAATTCAAATAACTACAGGTTTTCCTAAAATATGAATAGCGGAGATTATATTACTAATAACTATTGCTGCCAACTAGGATGTGTCCCCCAAAATATGGATATGATATTGATGACAAAAAAGCCTCGTTATATTCATATCATATAAAAATATTTTTTTAAAATCTTTTGCCCATACCATCTTGGGCAGCTTTTAATTAAGGTAGAATTGTAAACTTAAATTTTTAAGACAACCTATGTCCCTTTTAACCACATAATAATATACCTTTATATGTTTAACAAAATTTGTGTTGAACCCTTTATCATTTTTTTGTTTATACAGGTTTTACATTCACATTGTCTTTTTAACTTTTATTTAAAAAAAATTTTCATCTAAAATTTTAAGATTGGGATAAACGCATTTCCATAATTTAAGTTTCATTACCTTCTTCTTCACAACCATGAGTGTCATCCTACAAGTTAAATATATCACATAAAATTGGTAATGATATTCTATCGAATTACATTTATATATAAAATATAATCTTTACTTTTTCGTTTTGGTGTTGTTATTTTTTATCTATCTTAGTATGAGTTGGAAACTCTCCAGCTAATTTTGGTTGTCAATATATTTAAAATATGGTGGAGAAAAATAAGGAAATTAATACAAGATTCCCGAAGAAAATAAGATATATACTGTAATATGTAAAATTTTAAACATGAATGTTAAAAAGAATCTGTATCCTTTGTCAAGAAAATGAAAGAGATACAAGATTCATTTCAGAAAGTTACTCGTATATTATTTAAAATGTCAAAAAGATACTGAGTACAAGATATGAAAGGTTCTTGTATCTTAGATACAAGTATTTGATACTGCCCAACTTTGTAAATGGTGACAATCTAAATCTTTAATTAATAATTCAGTCTGATCTATCTGTCAAAACGTCAAGGATACAAATAACACCTTTCAGTAGATTGCCACTTCCATATTCCACTTACCCATTAATATAGGGAGAATCAAAATTAATTTAACAATTTTAAACCCTATATTTATAGTCATACAAAGAAATAAATAGTTTTTATAATTGCTGAAAAGTGAAGGTAGGTAGAGAGTTTAGGATAAGATAATAAAAAATGAAACGAAATAGTAAAACAAAATTTATTTTTTATTTAATTCATTTTGAATGCAATTATGTATCTAAAAAATTATAACTCTATATATACTTTTTCGAATTCAATTTAGTTATACTATCAATGAAACTATTAATATTATGTCAGGTGTAAGAAATAATATAATAAGTCCGTGAGGTATAAATTAAGTTAATATATTATAAAATATGTTTGTATTGAGTTAAATATACGTCTAACCTTGAAGGTTCAACAGATCTACGCTAGGTTTTCCTCATTTCTATCTAATTGGAACTAATTTAATTTGGGTGTAAAAGTAAAAATATGAAAAGCCCTCCACGCGGTGGGCAAGCCGCACGTACTTGTAGCGCAACATTCCGAAAAATGTTGCTTAAACCTCTATAGGCTTAAAGGAGTGGGGCAAAAAAAGAACCTATACCCGAGAACTACAGAATAATTTAATTACTTTGAGAGTGGGGGAGGGGTGGATGTTTTTAATTTTAAAAATTTTACTATACTAATGCTGGTTTTGTTGTAAGGAAATTTAAAAGAATACTTCCAAATAAGAATTGATTCCCATAAAGTCAAGCAATTCCGATATATCATATGAACAAGATTTCCTAAGATTTAAGTACCTTTCTTTAATGCGAAAAAGTTTTTAAATAGATCTTTAACTATTATTTAGTTTTATGAATTGTTTCATATTAATATTTAATTCCATCACATCTTTTATGGTTTTATAGTACCAAAATAATTTATATTTCCTATATTGTTTCCCTTTATATGTATACAACCATGCTATGGCGTCATATGCTAGATTATGATTAGACTTCCTAATTATGTGAGCCAGGAACTGAATACTACGTTTTTTTAAAGTAATGCTTATAGGCGTGTGATTAGACTTCTTCCAAAGATTTGAGTTTGAGATAACTCTTGGATAAAAAATACCATTTATTGTATGTACACAATTATTTATAAATGATTGGAGTCGTCACATTACTGTCTTATTTGTTTCCTAAATATCGCCTCCATATAATAAAATAGAAACTATCGTCGAGTTAAATAAACTCAATCTGGTAAATACAAATATTTCTCTCGATTTCCATATTTTCATATACATATAAAAAACGCCTTTCGCATTTTATATTCTAATTTTCATTTCTTCTCTACATTCGCCTTAATTATTTAGAGTGACCCCCAAATACTTAATTTTGATGACTATTTTTATTATGTTTTCTCCCACTATAAGATTATGAAGTGGATGTGTATTAGGTGAGGGGAGAATAACCATTTTATTAAA